CCCTGAACAGATCCTAGAGGTACATTGCCTCAAGAGCCTTGAGTTTTATTTATTTATTTTTCGGTTATCTCTGCCCGCAGCCCTTAGAGGGAGAGCTATTGAAAGGAAACTCCCGTCAAACACATGTAGGCCACAGACTTGAACATGATAATCACCAAACAGGGAAAGGAAGAGAGGGCAACACAGAGAGATGTCGCGTTTTTCTCCACTTCTTAACCCCCTGCCCCAGCCGTGCTCTGAAGTGAGTAAGACTATGTCTATATTGGGGTGGGATTAGATTGAAACCTAAAGCCTAGAACGTAGACATGTGGGGTGTGGGGTGAAAGCTTGCTCACTGTTCCATTATGTATTGTTTTCTTGTTTTACTTTCTTGGAGGGCCTATGATTCCTTTTGCTAGGTTTCCACTGCAAAAGAATAAGAATTCTTTGTGTTCTCCCATGAGCTTTGTCTCATGACATCAGGCATCCCATACAGTGCATTGAAGCCAGTAGAAACCATACCAGGAAGTTGATACTCTGAAGTGTATGTGAGTTCTCCAAGGAACACCTTGATTCTCAGTCATCCCTCCTAGTGGGCACTCAGAAGCAGCATTGTTAGACCTTAACCTGACCAAAGCTTGATTAATTATTATGTTACCCTTAGTCCTGATTTTGTTTAAACATTAATTTCAGGCCCTCAATGTGAGAACCATTTAATTCAACCGTTGAAGCTCGCAGAATGTCAGGATTTGGAGATATCTTGAAGGTGGTCGGAGAATACGGGAGGTTCCAGAAATGGTTGGTGGTACTCATTTGCATCCCAAATTTCTTAACCCCGTTTCACATGTTTGGCCAAGTCTTCATCAGTATGGATGTGCCTCACCATTGCAATACCAGCTGGATCCGGGCAATTAGCCCCAACCTAACCATAGAACAGGAGCTGAATTTGACCATTCCTAGGAAACCAGATGGTTCTCTGGACGAATGCTGTAGGTTCCGTCCAGTGGAAGAAGATATTGAATCGATAATAAAATATGGGCTCAATTCCACAGAGAAGTGTCAACAGGGATGGGTGTATCCTTCAGAGCTCAAGCCAACACTGGTAACAGAGGTGTGTATATGTATAATCTGAATTCCTTTTGAGTGCAAAATGATTCTATTTTGAAATGTTTATTGGTTGTGTACCGTAGGAATTGCAGTGTCCCCTTCAAAACAGTTGTTGAAATTGGTGCAACTTACCTGTTACTCTTAGAATAATAATCTAGGCCAGTGTTTCTCAACCTTAGCGACTTTAAGATATGTGGACTTCAACACCCAGAATTCCCCAGCCAGCCATGCTGGCT